TGACCTCACTGCTTGCACTTCTGACTCTGGAAACTAAACCGAGAACTTTTAAACGTTAAAACCCGAGAGCGAGGCGCAGTGTGTGCAGTCACAGCTCAGTGAGACTCGTGCTTTACGGGTGACAACTCACGCAGGTTTATTATCTCATCACACCTCCCTGCTGTCTGCTGGACTCAGTCTGAAGCAGAGGAGGATCTCATGCTGGTAAATATAACGGGATGTAGTAAAGCTCACCACCATCAACCCTCTGAAACCAGATGTTTAGATGCGCTGAACTTCTAAACCTCGTTGGAGACGTTGGTGGTTTGGGTAAAACCCAGAGAGGTGTAGCTGAAACTAGGTTGATGTTTTGTAGAGAGCTCTGTGGAGCTGAGCCGTCCTGTGCCGCCCTTCAGCCCCCAGCCCTGGCACAGCTGCCACAAACTGATCTACGTGCGACCAAACCCAAAGACGGGGGTGCCGGTGGGTCACTGGCCCATACCCGAGTCCTTCTGGCCGGACCAGAATTCTCCAACCCTGGTGAGCAGAGAATAGGCTGAACTTCTGGTGAGTCTCTCCTCTCTGTGGGGCGGTCTTCCTGACTCTAGCTGGCTGTGACTCTCTCCCAGCCGCCTCGCTCGGCCCACCCCATGGTGCGTTTCTCCTGCGCCGACTGCGACCCCATGGTGATCGACAAGCTTCCCTTTGATAAGTATGAGCTGGAGCCCTCTCCGCTCACCCAGTACATCCTGGAGAGGAAGTCACCACACATGTGCTGGCAGGTAGGTGTGACATCATCACTCCCACAGGTAGTTACATCAGTCGCTCGCCGCTGTAACACGGGTGTTTCCAGGTGTTTGTCAGCAGCAGCGGGAAGCAGACGGACTTAGGAAAGCCGTTTGGTTACCTGAAAGCCAGCACTACTCTCACCTGTGTGAATCTGTTCGTCATGCCCTACAACTACCCAGTCCTCCTCCCTCTCCTCGGTAAGAGCCGCTCCTCCGTACCTTTATCTGGGTCTGCCCTGAAGCGGTAACACTCTTACGCTAAACACCAGATACTTTGCTGTTAGGAGGACCCAGAATAACAAAACCCTCCTCACAAACTTTCTCCCATCAGATGATTTGTTTAAAGTCCACAAACTCAAACCAAACCTGAAGTGGCGACAGGCCTTTGAGATGTACCTGAAGACGATGCCTCCGTACTACCTGCTGGTAACCCGACGCTCCCGTCTGTCTTTGTGGAAGGTTCTGTGTTCGCTGTTGTTCACTAACTCCGCTTTGCTCTGCTGGCAGCCCTTAAAAAAGGCGCTGAGGATGATGGGAGCTCCAAACCTCATCGCAGACACCATGGACAGTGGTCTGAGTTATAGTGTCATCTCCTACCTGAAGAAGATGAGTCAGCAGGTAAACGGCCGGCGCTCACGCAGCTTCAGCTGACGTCAGCAGGAAAACGGCGGCGGGTTAGGGGCATTCATAGAAGTTTAAAACAAGACAAACACGTCACGGATTCTCAACCTCATGCTTGTTTGTTAGCGTGAGAGCTAAACCGGCTGACCTGAGCTCGTCACGCTGTCATCGCCTCAGGCTGCTGCTTTAAGCTCACACACACACCGTCTGAGGATTCCTGGACAGATTTCACCTTTGACCAGTGTTTGGAAGACACGTCGGACACTACCGACATGTTCTGATGTTCTCTATCGACATACCGACCGACGTGCCTCCACTCTTAACTAGAAAAATAAAAAAGTTCCTGAAAACCACAGAATGCAGACTGTTACACGGGTTAGGGCATAACATGTAAAGGTCAGAGGTCAACCTACTGTTGAATCTGAGGCGTGTGACCCTGGTTTTAGTCAGATCGTCCAAAGTCAGATGACCTTGATCCTAATGTTTGTCCTGTGCTTCCTAAAGGCGAAGCTCGAGTCAGATCGGCTCATCGTGTCGGTGGGGAAGAAACCTCCTCAGGAAAGTGGCATAAAGGTGAAGAACCACTCCAGTTCTCTCTCCCTGGCCCACCGGCGGGACTTCAAGCAGCTGCTGCAGGGAATCACCGGGGAGGCGCCGTTTCGCCTGGCGGACATCAACTTCAAAGAGTTCGCTGGCTTTCAAATCGCCTTACTCAGCAAGGTAGAGGAGCGACGGCAGCCATGTTTCTGCCGTCTGTGGCAGTTCACAGCGTTTTAGCTGGTTTCCACTCAACCCTCATCCAAATGTGTTCACAGGAGGTAAAACCTCAAACTTACCGGAACGCCTACGACATCCCGAGACGGAGCCTCCTTGATCAGGTCACCCGCATGCGCTCAAACATGCTGCGGACATCTTTGAAGTTCATCCAAGGCCAAGACGATGGTATGTAGATCGTAGCGAGCCACAGATCACCTAATCGTTTGTTCTTCTGGACGAAGAAACGAGTTGTTGGGCATCTGATTGCTAAGCTAGCCTGCTAGCCTAAACAAAAACAACTGATAGAGCAAAGTCGTGTTGCTGCTCATAAAAACCCAGCAGAACCGATGCAGACCATCTGTTATTACACAGCTTTGTTATTCCCCAACAATAAAACCTGTCAGGGCTGTAATATGGCTGAATAAGAATTACTACACATAATAACGTTAACACATTTAGACCGCTGTAAAAACCCAGCGATCAGTGTGTTTTCAACACATCATGTAATTGAGATCTGTTGAACCCAAAAACACCTCAAACCAAATGATGTGAGCTGTAAAGGATGTTGTCATGAACTGAACCGTGCGTGGCTCTCAGACTCGCTGCACAGCGTTCCCGTGGCTCAGATGGGAAACTACCAGGAGTATCTCAAAATGATGCCGTCTCCTTTAAGAGAGCTGGACCCGGATCAGCCCAAAAGGCTGCACACGTTTGGGAATCCTTTCAAGCAAGATAAAAAGGTACCTCTCGGATCCCTCCACCCTACCTGCCCGTCGCTGCTGTTTGATTCGTTGTCCCACTCGGTGTCAGCGGACGTGTTTTCTTCCCAGGGGATGATGATCGACGAGGCAGACGAGTTTGTGGCTGGCCCTCAAAATAAGAAAAGAGGAAATTCTAATGATTCCAACTCCAGTTTGACCATGAAGCGAAGGCGGAGCATGTCCCCGTTGCTGCGGCGACCACAGACTCCTTCAGGGAACACCCAAGCAACGATAGGGAAGAGTCCAGCAGGAGCTCAGGGCCAACAGGGTCTCCTCAAAGACTCTCCACAGCACAAAGGTAGGAGCAGCAGCAAGTCCAGGTGTTCTCCAGGAGGGTCCAGCATAGTTAAATAGTTCTCTGGTGTTCTTTATCCATCAGGAGTTGATGGGAACAACTTGGTGATCACTGAGAGCAATGGAGATGGTGTCCTTGAGTATGACTCTGGAGAAATCTGGCCCACTGACCTAGACACGGAGGGGATGAGTCCATCTTCACTGGTTGTAGAAGACAAGTGTGCTGCAGTGGTGTCAGATCAGGACGAGGACATCTGCAGGGCAGAAGAGGCGGAGATGGACGATCATCTGGAAGAGCAGCTGCTGGAGGAAAAACACAACTGTGAGGATCTGAGTCCACAAGGTGAGGTGGACATCTCTGAAGCTGATCCTGCAGCTCTGGAGACCATCTTCATATCTCCACTGGATGGCTGCCAAGCAGAGCTCCGGAGCCGAGTCATCAAGGAGGTCCGCAAACCTGGACGGAGTGAGTATGAGCCCGTAGTGTGGATCCTGCTCTGGCCCCACGAAGGTCCCGTTTGATGTTTCTTTTGTTTCTGCTGTTTGACTCAGATTATGAAGCCATCCTGGATCTCCTGCAGCAGGTGAAAGGATCTGAAAACACGCAGAAGTACTTCATCCAACACGCCATCAAAGAAGCTGCCAGGTGTGTGTGTGTGTGTGTGTGTCAGTAGAATAATTTCAACCACTTCTCTTTTCATCCATGTTCCAACAAGCCGCTGCTCCACGGTGATGTTTGATACTCAGACTAAACTACAAAGTTGGGTATTTATGGTTATTTTATCCAGTAACGACCGGTTTTCCTAAAGCTTCCTGCTCGGGTGAAAACGTGGTGGTGCACGCCGGGCCCGCGGTTCACAGACAGAGGCCCGCAGCTCTTCCTGGTTGACTTTCAACATAAAAAGTTAGAGTCCCATAGTCGTCATCACACACTGGTGAAGTTCATCGGGGGCAGCAGTAGCTCAGGTGGTAGAGCGGGTTGCCTCATGATCGGAGGGTCACGGGTTCGATTCCAGCTCCCGCCAGGGGTGTCCTGCTGTTGTGTCCTTGGGCAAGACACTTCACCCAACTTGCCTGTGTTAGTGGTGGTCAGAGGGGCCGACGACGCCGAATGGCAGCCTCGCCTCTGTCAGACCTCCCCAGGGCGGCTGTGGCTACAAGTAGCTTACCATCACTAGCAGTGTGTGAATGTGAGAGTGTGTGAAAGCGTCTTTGGGGGTCTAGAAAAGCGCTATATAAGTTAAGTGCATTATTATTATTATTATTATTATTATTATTATTATCTACCCATTTGACCCATCCCAATCCAACCCCATAAAGCTGAGTGTCAAGCAGGGAGGCGTTGGGTCCCATCTTTAGTATGACCCGACCTGGAACTGTACCCCGATCTCCCAGTCCCAGGGCGGACACTCTACCACCACCAGGCCACTGAGCTGGTTACGAGATGATTAACCTACAAACAACCCAAAGTAACACGAGTAAAGATCTCCTGTTAGCACTGAGCCTGCGTTGTTGTGGAGGCCTACAGACGTCACATGAATGCTTCATTTCTGTTGGGGTTTAGAGATGTTCAGCACTTAGCTGTGGCAGCCATATTGAATCAGGCTGAGTCCATAAGTGAATCCGTGATTGCTGAACATTCAGTAATTCACTTGAATCCATTCAGCTGATATTTAGTTACCAGGGTGATGCTGGATGAATGTTTAAGTCACTACTGGATTTCTGAGACCAACCTTCATCCCAGCTGTCGTTGCTTGCACTCTACTTAGCTTTCTCTTTTTCTGACAGGTTTAAGAAGCGGGTTTTGATCCAGCAGCTGGAGACCATCCTGGTGGAGCTGGGAGGGGGACCGGACAACCTGCTGCCAGCCTCCAACTCATCATGGGAGGTGGTCTCAGCAGATCCGGACAAGTCTCCTTTCTCCTGAAGGTCCTCTGCTGCTAGGTTTTACCAGTAAACAAACGTTCACGCTCGTCTAGTGTTGCTGCATCGTGTCAAAGAGTTCTACTGGAGGTCGTCAGAACCGAGCCCTTTGGGTTGTCTGGACAGGAAAAATATCCTCTTCATACTGACAGATGCCTCAAACATCTACATGGCTCTGCACACACACACACACACACACACACACACACACACACACACACACACACACACACACACACACACACACACACACACACACACACACACACACACAGTCTGATGCTCTCTAAAGCCTGAACTCCTTCAGCTGGTCTGAAAAGTGTTTCCAAACATGTTTTTATAAATAAAACATTTTTCATATCGTTTAGTGACGGGCAGGAAAAACCAGATCAAACCAGATGACATCTGCTACTCACTGATTTTTTATTTCCTGTATTTATTGTCTTTATTTCTCCGGGTTGATTCTGTTATCTAATACTTGACTGTTTTTAGAGGTTGGTTCTGACGCGCTCCAGCATCAGGGGTTGTGCAATATGGATCAAGTCTGTGAGCTCCGGGGGTGGGGGTGCTTTTCTGAGAGGGTTCAGTCGTTTTAATGTGGTCGTTTAAGGATCGGACGTTCGTTCAGTTAGGCATAATCCACCCTGGTTGGATATGAAGAAACTCACGACTGAACGAGGGTTTCAGTGGTTTCCAAGTGTGTAAAAGTTATAATCATCAAACTGAGCAGCTTCTGTTTGAGTAGGTAGAGGTCACGTCTGACAGGATTGATAAGCTAAAGGCTAGTCTGACAGGAGCCGAATGTTTTGCTGCCATCTTAAAGCAGCTCCGATCTTTCACACTGCTTTTGTGATTAATGCCAAACACAATCGGCAGCTAGGTGTAGCTCTCCAACTAGAACCAGCAGGAGCGGACGTTCCTGCTGAAACTACCGTGTGAGGCTGAATCAACAATGGTGTAAAGCTTTTTCAGGTTTACATGCAGCAGCGGCGGCTCACCAGACCAACTCCTGTGAAAAATACACCATCTACACAGTTAGAGGTGCACCAAAAATAAGCACCGGTGCTCCAGGTAATGCACCGTCGCCCGTTCACCAAGGTGTGTGAATGCACCGTCCCTCTAAGCACCAGTTACCATGAGAAATAATAGATTTTACACGCAAGGTTTGGATACCAGAATTCTCGTTCCCAAGTTAATCAGAGCTTGAAAACAAAAAGTCTCCAAGTTGGTCCAAGTCAAGCTTGTCGGCTGTGCAGGGATCAGAAATCAGAATGGGTGCGTTTCTGGACGACGGTAACAACTCGCCACTTTTACACAAAAACAAACTGCAGTCCCGATCAGTGAAAGCTGTTTTCACCCTGCAGTATGTTTGTGCGTCAGCGTTGGAGAAGCTGGTTTAAGGGTGAAGAGCCGCTGCCTGATCTTCTGCTGTCGGTTAAATACGCGAACAGAGGATTGTATCGCTTCATCTGTTCTCACAGCCGCTAACCCCGCGGCAGGAACACTCCTGGTCATCTCCACCACTCTGCAGGTTCTCTCCTCTCTTTGTTGTGATGTACATCAGATGTTCACTACTTATTATTCTACATAGGCAGTTATAGATTATTTTTGTACATTTAACACCAGAGTAAAGAAATATTTTGTAAGAAATGTTTTTAAGCCATTTTTTGTAAACTGTTAAACCTTCAGAGCAGAATGTTTTATAAGGACACTTTTATACAACACACAATAAATAAAGCACATGTAGGGTGGCCTCTGCTGGTGTTTGTTTTAAATTTAACTTTAAACCAGTTTTCAGCACACTCATGCTTCCTGGAACAAAATCCCACCATATATCTTTTGCATTTTGTTGTGTTTTTAAAACAAAATGTTTTTTTGTTCATCTTTAAACTTTTTCACCTTTGGACAAAAGTATCCTGCATCGAGAGAAAAGTCTAATGAAGCCATCAGAATGCACGTTCGAAGCTTCTGTGTGTATGCATGAGGATGCTGAGTTACGTATATTTGAGGTTGTGCTTTAAACACACACACACACACACACACACACACACACACACTGTAAAGCAAAATGGTGCATGTTTCACAGTCACCTTTTATTGTGGCCAGTCTAAGGCTCACCTGTGCAATATTCACTAAGAGATTTAGGAACAACATCTGAGACTTGTGTCATTTGTGAATATAGAAAATGTTTCAGATCTTTGAGATGAGCTCATGAAAAATGAGAACAAAAGGGTTATGTTTATATTTTTTAACAATGAGCTGACGGTTATTTGCAATCACGAGAGATATCATCATCATCATCTTTATTTATAAAGCGCTTTCCATCAATGAGAGAAAGCGCTGCACACATAACAAAGATGTAAAACAACAGCAACCATGCAGTGACTAAGATAAAACAAAAGGACTAAAGCAATAAAGATATTAGTTAAAAGATAAGAACGACTAAGAAGGCTAGTGGAACGCCATGGTGTAAAAATGGGTCTTAAAAACTGGCAGAGAGGGTGCTTGTCTGATCTCTAAAGGAAGGTCGTTTCACAATTTGGGCGCCCAGACCGAGAAAGCTCTGCCGCCTCTAGTCGAGCAGCGCGCACGCGGAATGACCAACAACTCCAGCTGTGATGACCTCAAAGCGCGCGATGGAGTGTACGATGTGATTAAGTCAGAGAGGTATGATGGCACACGGCCCTGTAGTGGCTTGAAGACGAAAGTGAGTACCTTGAATTTGACTCTAAAAGAGACCGGAAGCCAATGCGGATGAGCCAGGATTGGTGTGATGTGTTCATGCCTCCTGGTGCCAGTCAGGAATCCAGCTGCAGCTAGGTAGATAGGTACTCCCACCCCATCCTGGGACTCACTTCAAATCGCAGTCATTTATCTCAGTAATTCCACTTAGACCGAGAGACCGTCTAAAGGCTCAGGAACCCTTTGCCGGTGTTCTGGATTCTTTAGCGGATTAGTGTGAAACTTCGAGTCTAAAATGTTCTAATTGTATGAGCATGTAATGAGTATCTCATTTATTAGTTTTACCTTTTACCTTGAATCACTGACAAATGAAATTTGGCACCATTTATATGAAAAAAAAGTGGTTCTCTCGCATTCGTCTAAAACCCTCCACCAACGTCATGTTTCGGACCAAGAGCGACTATCGGACCATCTGGGTGTCAGTCTCGCCGATACGCTGCACTTCCCTGGGTCCTCCATTCTTTACGCACTCATGTATTTAGCTAGCCTAGTGAACTAGACCAGATTCTTGCCTAATATTTATTTAGTCTGGCTTGCCAAGCTAGTATTTAGCAACAGAACACCACTGGTGTAAGAGGTTCATAACTCACTAATATCGGAGGAAAACAGCCGGCTGCTACCACTTTTAGGACAAACTACCAGATTCCCAAAAAGAAAAACACCAACTGAAGTCACAGACAACAAAATAAATTTGGACGTAGATAACTGCTACTGGTGTTTAGTGCTAGCTCGTTGCCTCTGACGATACAAGTTTGTGTAAGACGGTGTTGTCCAAGGTGGAGCACCGTCTGCATTGGCCCAAGGATGGACTGCCTGCCTAAAATCAAGCCAGGCCTGGAGTAACTTGAGCGTTGTGGACTCACCTGCTGCACTTTTTCATGTGTTCTGGATGTGCCTGGAACTGCAGGGATATTGCAAGCACTCTCCAGGATTTATAGCAGAGGTGTCCCTTACCAAAAAGAAGTACACTGAAGTATACTTGAAGTATACTAAAAATGAATACAGTATACTTCCAAGTTTACTTTCAATGTACTTATCAGAAGTATAGTTATCCGAGTACATTTTTTAAATACTACTAAGTATACTTTAATACATACTTACATTAAAGTTTACTTACATTTAGACTATACTTGTACTTGACTCTATCAGAAGTATATTTCACCAAGTAATGTATAAGTATACTTAATATATATATATATACTTATATAATATAATAAATATCTAAGTATATATATAATATATATATATATATATACTTATATATATATAATATATAAGTATATATATATATATATATATATATATACTTATATATAATATATATAAGTGTATATATATATATATATACTTATATATATATAATATATATATATATATATATATATATATACTTATATTATATATATATATATATATATATATATATATATATATATATATATATATATATATATATATATATATATATATATATATATATATATATATATATTTGGAACTTTTTATTTTTGAATTAGAACAACATTTACATGGAGATGCATTTGAGTTTCTTCTTCCCTTCTCCAGGGCAGTGTTTCCCTGAACAAAGTTTGAATTTCCTTGTGGCCATAAGATCTATCCAACTTAACCAAATCACCAATCAGTACATATAGTTCTGACAAGCTTTCTCTGTATTCATCTTATCTGCTCTCTACTACATTCCACATTTTACTTTGATCTAGCTAAATAACTCACCCAAAAGACAAAAATACATAAATAAATAAAAAATAAAAATTAATAATAATAATTTTCACATGAGAGTACTGTCTTTCTAACATTTGTTTTATTGGTTCCCAAATTTTTTCAAATTTCCCTAGTCCCAGTCTTGCATTAATTTGTTCCATTTTATAGACCTGTCTAACTCTGTCTCTCCACTGTGCCACCCTTGGGGGTTCTGTGTCCAGCCATAAAACTGTAATACACTTCTTGGCAGTCATAAGCAGAATTCTGATTACATATGTCTCCATTATGTGTGTATGATTTTTGGTACAGCATTCCCAGTACAAACCATTTTAACTTAAATTGTAATTTCACCTTCAAGGTTCTTTCAATTTCTCCCTAACACCTTCCCAGAATGGTATGAATTTAGGGCAGTCCAAAAGTGTATGTGAAAAGTCTCCCACTAGCCCGCATTTTCTCCAACATAAATTTGAAACATTACTATTTAGACATGATAAGTGGAGTTTTAAAGCATGCATCTTCACCTTCCGTTCAAATTCCCTCCAAGACGGACTATTAGTTAGTTTATGGCCTGCTTCAAGTGTTTCCTCCCATTCCTCATCTGTTATCATTATGTTCACTTCCAGCTCCCATTTTTCTTTAATATCTATATTCTTAACAATCAAATCCTGTTGTAAAGCTTTATATATTTTGAAATCAGTCCTTTTTGACATGTCCTTTCTGTTTAACATAATCACTTCCTCCATATTAAGTTTATCCTTGCTTGAAACTTTGCCTTATTTTGAAATAACTACTCTGTCTGTCTGTCCTAAATAACATATTAAGCATGAAATTACGAATTATTGTGAAATTACACGCACAGGAAGTGCTTTTATTTTGTAGCATTTGCTCAGTCAGTTCTCGAAGGCGAAGCTTCTCAGCAGACCGAGAAGAAGAGCGAGGGTCGGAGGAGCATTAACCGTCGGAGGTCGCGCTTCTGTTCTGCATCTGCACTTGACAGTCACTGGTTCTGCACAACTGAGCTAAATGTAAGTAGCCGCCATAAAAGTTGCTTAAATGTTGTAAATGTTTTTAAGATGGACATGGTGAGTAATGTTGGCCATGTAGCAAGCTAATATGCTAAGTCATTGCGTGAGTTAGCTGTGTTATTAACTTTGTGTGTGACTAAAGTCCGTTTATTAAATTAAATGAGCAGCGCTATCTCATTATTAAAGGTTAGCATTACTTTAGATACTTTTTTATTAGACTTCTAGAGACTTATTCCCTCCATTTTTGTCCCCTCCATCGTAATTTTTTAAACGTGACGTTCTGAGAAAAAAATAAAAGCGGGAGCTCAGCGCCACCAAGTCAAACTTAAACGTCCACTTATTAAAAGTAAATGAGCAGTGGTCTCTTGTTCAGTGATGAAAAAATCAGTCTGTGTTGTAAACTATTTCCCCATAGCACCCGTGCGATAGCTTTGCAAGCAGCCTGCTTTTTTAACCGTAGAAGAGGATTGTGACCGCAAGAGACGAAGCGGTGCTGTATCTCATGCTATGTTCCCTCCTTCCCTCCATTTTTGTCCTCTCCATAGTTTTTTTAAAAGGTGATGTTCTGAGGACAAAAAAACAAACAAACGGTAAGTTCAGTTAGTTCGCGGGAGTTTGTCAGTTTTTGTGAAAAGTTTTATTTAATACACGCATAGACATACACATTTTGTTAATGTTTTTATCATCAAATTAAATAGTGCTCAGTTGCACATATCTTGAATCGCAGAACGCTGTTTCTATTAATTTCACAGTATTTTAGTGTTGTAATTTTGTCCTTACTGTACACTGTTACTCCAGATTCTTTTCTTCAAATGTTATGTTTTTAGCTTTGTGTGGATAAGTCAAATTACACTTGAATCTCCTCACACACACACACACACACATATATATATAATTTAGATGATTTAGCTTCATATATAGTGGAGGACTGCCTAAATTTTGCAGACTAACACAGATCTACCTTGTGATTCACAATGTTTGTTTTCTCTACTGATTATGCTTCCTGGTGTAGATGTGCATTCCTATGAGCTGTCAGCCACACCGGGAAGCCTGTCTATGAATCTGCAGTCAGACTTCAATGATCCAACCCCACTCTCTGCACACAAGATTGATGGCATGCTGCTGTTGACCCCCAAGAGGTTCATACAAGTGAGACCACTGGTGAGTAATTCTCACAATCTGCATTTTTGATGGCGCATCCTAAATAACATGACTACATATGTATGTATGTATATAAGTTTACAGATTAGGGCTGTCGCGGTTGA